AAATAGCCCCAAAACCCCAGGTAGCACCCAGCGCCACCCTGACATCCAACTCAGTGGCCTGCGCTAAAGTGAAACAGGCTCCCAGAGCCAATCGCCATCCAGGTGATGAAGAAGAAGCTCAGCGCCAACAGTCCTTGATGAAGATGAAGTCCAGACGATGATATCTCTGAGAACATGGAGCTATGGCTGCATCGCCACTGGGACCCTACTTCTGAGGAGGGTCAGCAGTGCACCACGTGCTCCAACGCATCAGACCTCTGATAGCCTGGGCCGCTATGACTCCCAGAGAGTCAGAGCGGGCAGCGTTGACCACAGTCCGGTCAACGCTCCGAAGGTCCGGCTATGTCCGCTGTGTCCAGCACCGGAATCAGCAAGCACGACCTAATACCGTGTGCGCAGCAACTTCCACCACGAAGTGTCAACTGCCAAAAGCCCTGGACCGGTGTCCCCATCCTACCTATACTCTACTAGCCTAGACCGACCTAGACCGGACTGACTGACCGACCGGTACCGTTTCAGTTTCGGCCTCTAGGGCCTCTCCCTGCCCGGCCATAGGCTATAGGACCGTCTATCAGCATAGGCCCATAGGACCTGTCTGTCCTAGGGGTAGCCCGGGTCTGCTATTCGCAGTTTGGGTAGCTGTAGGAAAATCGAGTTAGTACAGGGACCATATTCCTATATTTACAGATATGTCCCTCACGAGTTTTCCACACAGACAGGTCCCTCGGTTAGCCCTCAGCCAACAAAATTACGAATCTACCCCTGACTATGGTACAGCCTCGTCAGGGTGAGGCTACAGGCAACATGGAAACAGCAAGTCATTGCACAGGGGGATTCCAGGCTCGGCAACGATAGCTGGGCCAAGTACTGGTGGTTTAAAACCACTTCCCCTATTCTAATCCGATCTGCTCTGCAACCCGCCTACAATACGCTATATGGAGCTGTGACCAGGGCACCGATGGTGCATCTGGCCGGAGATTCGAAGACTATACATGGAGCGTACTTTGTGAGATTCGCTTGTTTTAACTCTTCCGGCATCCTCGTCTTAACTATGTCGCGAATCTGCTACCGTTTCAGGACAGTTTCTCTTGTGTAGAACTGCTTTTTGGAGCGAGTATGGTTTCGTTGTCTTACGACCTTGCTTTCCTCTCCGCTTCTGGGAGTGGAAGTGGTTTTGGCGTGAAAGGCGGGCTTGTTCCCTACTTTGAAAGAGAGTGGGCCTGGACAGTGCAGGCTTGATCCCTATTTTGAAAGAGAGTGGGCCTGTGCTATTTTCCTGAGCGTTTATCTCTGGTCATTGACATCGACTGGTGAGTATTGGTAGTTTTGGCAAGTATATTGGTAGTTCTGGCAAGTATTGGTAGATTTGGCAAGAGTTATTCGGCGATACAGAGCAAATGGAGCTAATTACGTGCGAGATGCTGGCCCGATGTCTTTTTGAGTGTTATGGTAGGTTTGCGTTTTTTGATTGTCCTCTATTGGTCTTTGAGGTTGAGTTGTTTTTTTGAGTTTTAGAATCCGCTTCTTGGTGGAACCGTAGGTTTGGGTTTTTTGGCCAATCCTGGTTTGTTGGTTTTTTTTCATTCGGTACGTTGTTCACGTTTTTTGGCTTTTGGTTTGGTTTGTTGGTTTCTTTTCAGTCAGCAGGTTTTTGTTTTTCAGTGGGTTTTAGGTGTTTTGGGGACGATGGCTTTGGAAAAGGTTTCGATAGTTTTTGTTTTTGGTCTATAGAGACTTTGGTGATATGATCTTAGAGGCTTTGGTGATATGATCTTTGGCGTTTAGGTTCTGATTTTTGTATCGAAGTAGTATTAGCCTATTAGGAATTCCATGTTTGAGTAGCGTTTTCGTTTTGTGGCTTTTTATAGGTTTTCCCCCGTTTTAGGTTTTCGCTGTGGGGCTTGGTGGTTGTGTTCGCCATAGGTTTTCCGTGTTATCATTTTCGGTGGTTTTGTTCCTTTTCTTTGAGTTATTACCGTATTTAGGTTGTTGAGAAGTGTTTTTGTTCTCTGGTTTTGTACAGAGGGATGGCTCGGGATGGGGAGTGCACCCGAGGCCAGTTGCCCTCTGTTATTTTCACCTTATCCTCTGCTATGTTGATGTAAGCCTTGGGCACCGGCCCGTTCGAAATAAAATTCCATCTGGAATGAAAAAAAAAAACAAAAAAAAAACAAACACCCGACCCCAAAACAAAACCCAAGTCTACTTCCATCCTACTACCCTATTCCTGTCTCTTATACACATCTAGATGTGTATAAGAGACAGCCTCCAGTCCTTGTGGCCGTGAGCATACAAAGCAA